ATAAATTATACTTAACAAAACTGAAAATTTTTTTCCACTTCAAAAGATAACATTAAGAAAATAAAAAGACAAGCCACAAACTGAAAGAAAATACCTGTAAGTCACATTTCTGATTTAAAAAAATAAAACAACCTAGGCGTGGCGGCACACGCCAGCAGTCCCACGTACTTGGAAGGCTGAGGCAGAAGGATCGCCTAGGCCCAGGAGGTCAAGGCTGCAGTGAGCTGTAATCATGACACTGCACTGCAGTCCAGCCTGGGTGACAGAGTGAAAATAAAATAAAATAAAATAAATAAATCAAACAAAGTACACTTATACCCAGAATATATAAAGAATTGTTACAACAACCCAATAATAAGAAAACACACAACTTAAAAAGGGACACAAGATTTGAAGGTAAATTTCACCAAAGATACATGAACACTAAAAAGCACATGAAAAGATGCTAATGGGCAGGTCTTGTTGGTTCAGCCTATAATCCCAGCACTATGGGATGCCGAGGTGAGTGTGGATTGCCTGAGCCCACGGGTTCGAGACCAGCCCAGGCAGCTTGGCGAGACCTCATTTCTTCATCTCTACAATAAATCAAAAATAAGCTGGGCATTGTAGCATGTGCCTGTAGTTCCAGCTATTTGGAAGGCTGAGGCGGAAGGATCGCCTGAGCCCAGCAGGATGACACTGGGGTGGCTGTGAGAGTGCCACTGCACCCTAGCCTGGGCAATGGAGTGAGACTCCAACTAAAAAAAAAAAGAAAAAGGAAAGAAAAGATGCTATTGTTCATTAAGGAACTAACCACAAAGAAATACCACTTCATAGCCACTAGGGTTGGCTACAATAAAAAAAGATAGACAAGTATTAGCCAAGATCTGGAGAAAGTAAAACATTGTGGGTGGAGATGTAAAATGGTGCAGTCACTTTGGAAAACAGTAGCTTTTTTTGGTACCTTCTTAAGAAATTAACATAAATTTACTATATGACCAAGCAATCCCACTGCTAACTAGCCAATCAAGAGAAATGAAAACATGTCCAAAGACTTGTATGCAAATTTTCATAGCAACATTATTCATAAAGGGAAAAAACTAGATATAATTCAAATACCATTTTAAAAAAAGAAAAATGAACAAGGATATAAACAGGCAATGTCAGAAAGGGGACTGCAAATGTCCAATTGATGAATGGATAAGCAAAATGTGTATATCTATACAAAGGATATTTTCAGCAATAGAAAAGAAGAAGTTTTTTCTACATACCACAACATGGATGAACCTCAGAAACATTATACTAAGTGAAAGAAGCCAGACACCGATTACATTCACATGACATGTTCAAAAAAAGGCTAGTCTTTGGAGAAAGTAGACTAGTGGTTGCCTGGGTATCAGGATGAGAAAAGACAAAACGTTTCTTTTTGGAGTGAGAGAAATGTTCTAAAGCTGGATTGTGTTGATGAGTTCACAACAACGTAAAGTTACTAAAACTCATGGAACTGTACATATGAAAAGGAATTTTATGGTTTATAATGTCTTCAATTTTTTTTTTTAAAGAAAAATGAACAAGGATATAAACAGGCAATTTCAGAAAGGGGACTGCAAATGTCCAATAAACATAGTGAATCAAGCTCATTTTCAGTTTATAAAAATTAAAATAAATCCATGATAAATATTTCACCTATCAGCAAATAAATCATTTCACCTATCAATTTGGCAAAAATTAAGCAGAGTAAGATAATTCAGTATTGCCAAGAGTGCAAGCACTCTTATACATTGTCACTGGGAGCATAAATTGGCCCATAAATTGGAGGTTGATTCAGGAATACCTAACAAACTTTTAAACATAAACACCAGCTGAGGTGAGTGGATTGCCTGAGCCGGCGGGCTCGTGATCCGCCTGTGCAACTTGGCGAGACCTCATCTCTATAATAAATCAAAAAATCAGCCAGGCGTGGTAGCGCATGCCTGTAATTCCGTCTACAAGCAAGGCTGAGGCGGAAGCATCGCCGGAGCCCAGCAGGTCGAGGCTGCGGTGGCCGGGAGCGGCCACTGCACTCCAGTCTGGGCGACAGAGTGAGACTCCAACTCAAAAAATAAAAAATTTAAAAAAATTAAAAAAAACCATAAACACCCTTTCACCTCCCCAATTCCACTTACAGGTATTGATCCTAAAAAAATATTTACAGGCCGGGCTTGGTGGCTCAGCCTGTAATCCCGTGCTTTGGGAGGCTGAGGTGAGTGGATTGCCCAAGCCCGTGGGTTCGAGACCTGCCTGGGCAACTTGGCGAGACCTCATCTCTACAATAAATAAAAAATTAGCCGGGCGTGGTAGCGCCCGCCTGTAGTTCCAGCTACTTGGAAGGCTGAGGTGGAAGGATCGCTGGAGCTCAGCAGGTCGAGGCTGCGGTGGCCGGGAGCGGCCACTGCCCTCCAGTCTGGGCGACAGAGTAAGACTCCAACTCAAAAAAAAAAAAAAAAAATTTACACATGTACAAAGTCGGCAATAGCAGAAAACATGGAAATATTTAAATGTCTACCAGCAGGAGAATGGCTAAATAAGTTACACAACTCGAACTATTTTTCAGCATTAAAAAAATATAAGGGTAATCTATACTACTATGGAAAGATATATTGTTAAGTAGAAACAAACAAACAAAAAAACCCACAGTGAACAGAAAAAACAAGCAAACACCCAAGTTTGGTAAGAAAGAGAGATAGAGATTTCACTTACATAAAAGGAAATAGATACATTTTGTGTGGAGGACAGGATTAATGTTTCCAGCTCTTTTCTCCCAGTGAGCAGATTTTATATCCCCAGACCACTGACTCTGGTCATGGCCATTTGGCTTGCTTTAACCAATGGTGTATGACCAGAAATGAATGTGCTAACTTTAACCAGAAGCTTTAAAAAGCTACTTGGTCTCTCAAGCAGTATAATCTTGAGAAGCTTGCCCACTTATATACAATAACCTACCAAAAACTGACTAATACAATGTGATACATGAAAAAGGTCCCAAAAGATGCACATCAAATTGAATTATGTATATTTGCCTGTGTTGGGAGACAGTTATGTTGTAAAAACATTGTATACTTTGTAATTTCTTGAATTTTTACAAGTGTTATTTTAAAACATGTCAAATGAAAAAAGCCATATGCTAAAAGTATGTGGATTAATGTGGTGGGATAGGTTGGGATATCTGTTATTTTTTAAAGGTTGGGGGGGGGGGAAAGCTAAGACCCTACCATCAATCTAATGTAGGTAAAAAGACATTATAATGGTGATAACATCTACTATACTTTATGCTACAAAAACTTGAAGGTGCTTTGAAAATTACACACATTATCTTAGTTATCACAATGATACTGCAGGATAGGTATTTAATCACTCCCACTGCACAGTGAAGGAAACAAGCTTAGATAACTTGCTCTAAAGGGCACACATGGTTAGCCTTGAATCAGAAAATAGCCCTTTGGACTCTAAATCTCCAAAGCCTAAGTACTATAATGATGGTGTGATCAAAACACTGTATGAATATTATCCAGCCTTAAAATGAGATCTTGCCACTTGCCACAGCATGGATGGACTTGGCAGGTATTATGCTAAGTTAAATAAGCCAGACCAGAAAGAAAAGTATTGCATGAGCTCACTTACATGTGGAATCTTTTTGAAAAATAAAAGGTCCTATACAGAAACAGAGAATAAAACAGTGGTTACTGAGGTCCGAGTGAGGGGGAAATGGGGAAAAGTGGGTCAAAGGATACAAAGTCGCAAATATGTTATGGAAACAAATGGAAAGATCTGACATGCAATATGAGAACTATAGCTAATAATAGTGTACTGTATTCAGGATTTTTGCTAAATGAGTAGACTATGGCTACTCATGTCACAGTGGGGGAAAAATGGATATCCACATGAAATGATGACTATCTTACTATTATAGTAACCATTTTACTATATATATGTACTTATACTATCATGTTATACATTTTAAACATATACAATAAGACTAAAAAAAAAAGAACTACCCAGAACAGGACAATTCCCTAAAGGAAAGAGGAGTCCTCTGCAGACAAAAATAACATTATACATAATAGGGGTCAACAATGTAGATTTTGCCATTATCTACAGTCAGTAAACTACACCCTGTGGACCAATCTGTCTACTGGCTGTTTTGTAAAGGTTTTTTGGAACTTAAAACAAAATAAAACAAAACAAAAACAAAACACTATATGAAAAGAGGTAGAGAGTTGAGTCTGTTTGGAAGAATAAAAAAATTGAGTATTTGCTAGTGTGAACCACTCTACAGCTTCTTGTATGAAATATGGAAATGATATCCTTCAGTTTATAATCAGATTTTTGCCACCAAATTCCCAGAGAAACCTATTTTCAAAACAACCATCTATTACCTTTAACTGTCATTTATGACTTAGCTAAAACACATTATGGCACAATATATACAAATATATCGATGCAAACAGTTATATTAACATCAATTTATAAGATGATTTCTGATTAGAAAGGACATTGTTGGCTGGGCACAGTGGCTCAAGCCTGTAATCCCAGCACTTTGAGAGGCCAAGGTAAATGGACTGCCTGAGCCCACAGGTTCAAGAACAGCCTGGGCAACTTGACGAGACCTCATCTTTACAATAAACCAAAAAAAAAAAAAAAATTAGCCAGGCATGGTGGCGTGCACCTGTAGTTCCAGCTACTGGGAAGGCTGAGGCAGAAGGATCGCCTGAGTTCAGCAGGTTGATGCTGGAGTGGCTGTGAGCATGCTACGGCACTCCAGCTTCCAACTCAAAAAAAAAAAAAAAGAAAGGACACTGGTTTCTTTTTTCTTTTTCTTTTATTGTTTTCAAAACTGATATAGTTCAGTAACTAATGAAGACACAAACATACATAAATTTGTTCATTGTTATGTTTAAATGCAAAAGGTTAAGATAGGGGAAAAAAATGTGCCTAACCTAAGTCATAAAGTAAGCCTTTAGTTTGAAAGAGAGTCAGTATACCTGGGAACATTATTGTTTGAATCTTCACTCTCATTTGCCAGGCCACCAAACAAATAGCATTTGTTACCATATAAAGAGAAGCTATGTCCAAGTCGAGGACAAGGAGGTAAACCAGAAGAAGGGGGATGGGGTTTCACTTTTTTCCATAACCAACGACTTGCCTAAAAAAGAGAACAAATACACTCAGATGAAATCAGGAAAGCATTCCTATATTGTCAATAGTGCATTATATCAAAACATCTTAATCCAAATCCCATCAGAAGGTTCTAATAAGGCACTCGGGACAAATGACAAGTAAGCAGCTAACTTCTGGAATTAGAATATATGTGCCAGCAGAAATTCAGATTACTTTTTCATATTCACAAATTTTCACAATGGCAAACCAAGCTTATAATAATAAACACGAACAGTTTTACAGTATTTTCTAAACGAAAACTTAAGCATTATATATAATTATATATAATTTATGTATTCTTACTTTCTGAAATTAGGTAATCCATGAATGCTAAATATTTTAACCTTTAAATAAACATAAAGCTCATTTAACAAATCAAATTCCAAAACTTATTCTCTAGACATGGTAGTTTCTTTCACTGAAACTATTTTTGAAATGAGGTTCTTGTAAATAGGTACAATTCATTCACATCTGCCAACTAGCTGATACCCTCATGATCACAGATCAGGAAGAAAAGTCCACTAGGGCTCTGAGTCTAGTTTAATAAGAGAGTCAAATTTAGAAAAGTTGTAGGAAACTGTTACATATTTTGTACATATTGCCATGAGAAAAAGTAATGATTAGTGTGAAGGTAACAATTTCTATAACACTAGAACAGTAGTTTTCTTTTCCTTTTTTTTTTTTGAGTTGGAGTCTCACTCTTTTCACCCAGGCTGGAGTACAGTGGCATGCTCATGGCCACCACTGCCTCAACCTGCTAGGTTTAGGAGATCCTTTCCACCTCAGCCTTCTAAGTAGCTGGAACTACAGATGCACACCACCAAGCCTGACTAGTTTTTTGAGTGTGATTTATTGTAGAGATGAGGTCTCACCAAGTTGCCCAGGCTGGTCTTGAACCCCCGGGGCTCAGGCAATCCTCTCGCCTCTGCCTCCCAAAGTGCTGGGATTACAGACTGAGCCACCACGACTGGTTGAACAGTGGGAAACAGCATCATCACCTGGGAACTTGGTAGAAATGCCAATGCTCAAGCCTCACTACAGACAAAACTGACTCAGAAACTCTGGGGAAGGACTTGTGTCTTCACAAGTCCTCCGAGTGCTTTCTGTTGCAGCCTAAAGTTAAAGAAAGACTGTTCTAAGACACAAAAATCTAAACATATTATCACGTACAACTGATGCTATGTAATAGATAACTTGATGTTACAAATGTTGCACTGGGCTTGGGGAAAAGACTGACATAATTTGGTGAGACTTTATCTCTACAATAAATCAAAAAATTAGACGGGTGTGGTAGCACGTGCCTGTAGTTCCAGCTACTTGGAAGGCTGAGGCGGAAGGATCGCCGGAGCCCAGCAGGTCAAGGCTGCGGTGTAGTCGGGAGCAGCCACTACACTCCAGTCTGGGTGACAGAGTGAGACTCCAACTCAAAAAAAAAAAAAAAGTTTTGGCTTTTTAGTGAAGTGGAAACATTTTCTTTGAAGCTACAAAATGTGACAGTCATTATTTTAACCATGTTATTTTACAATCTTTTGAAGAATTAGGAGCAATATCATCATTAAAGCCTCAGACTGAATAAATGTTAAACACACTTACTTGTAATTCATATAACTCATTGCTGTATCTTCCATATTCAACCATTCCCCCAAATACTAATATTCTGGTACCATCACAGACAAATCCGTGGGCAGCACAGCCTGGAGGGATGTCTCCTCTTACAGCTGGTAGGAACCACTGATTTGTAACTAGTTGCCAAAATAAAATTAAAACCAATTATAACAAACAGGGTATCATATACTACCAGTATTTACTTTACATCTGTCATCTATATTAGTGGTTCTCAACTGGGGATGATTTTGTCCCGTCCCTCCCCCCCCAGGGGAACATTTGGCAATATTTGATGACAGCTTTAGTTGTCACAGCTGCCTCCAGGTGTTACTGGCATCTAGTGGGTAGAGGTCAGGGTACTGGCAGGTGTTACTGGCATCTAGTGGGCAGAGGCCAGGGATACTGTCAAACATCTTACAAGTACAGGGCAATACAGGGCAGCCTCCTTCACCTCCAATAAGGAATTATCTGGCCCAAAATGTCAGTAGTGCTGCTGTTGAAAAACTCTGATCTACATCATTTAATTCCTACAAAAACCCTGCCAGGTGAATATCATCATCTCCATTTTACAACGGAAAAAAACTGAGGCTTGAAAATGGTTGGTATCTTTAGCGCAACTGGGAGAGCAAGATTCAAACCAGGTCTAATTTGGCCCAAAGCCGGGTTTTTTTGCAACAGTCCAAGTTGTCAATAACTTTTAAACTTTATTTGCTAAGGCGCTGGAGGAGGAGAGGGTGGGGGGGGGAAATCCCGGACTCCGCTATTTTGTTAACCTTTCAACGGTCATTGTGGTCAAGTAGTTTGGCCAAAGAAAAGTCACTGGTCAAGAAGTAAACCCAGCATTCCGTCATTAGCCTTACAATCCCCCCAACCCTCCCAAGAGACTTCTTGTGACAGCTGGAGCGTCTGCAAGTGGGAAACACGACATTTCCATCTCCGTTCTGCTCCGCGGAGGGGCTCGGAGGCAGAGCCCTC